CATTAACTCCTTGTGCCTCTGTGAACCAAGAGCTCTTTCAAAACGTACAATGAATTCCATCAATGTGTTTTTCCGGTTAATATATTGTTTGAAAAATGCATGACAGCTTTCAGCCCGTTGACTACTTGACATCCCAGCCGAAAACACATGTTTTACTTATGATGGAACCCAATTTTCCCGCAAAGCATGAATCGAGCTCAGCCACGGATGATCTTTCAGCCCATTGCTTGTGACGATTTCATCCTATTTCGCATCAAATTCTTCTTTTGTGTCCATACCCCATATGCATTTGCACATTTCCGAAAAAACATTCCCCAATGCCGGGTTTCTCCATAAACTTATTCAAGATATGCCATATGCAATATCTATGGAATGTTGTTGGGAGAGTTAAAGCAATTGCCTTTGACATGGCTGCATCTTGATCAGTGATGATCATTTTGGGTGGCTCACCTGGCATGGCTTTCTTGAATTCTTCGAACAACCATACAAATGAATCTGTGGTTTCACTAGTTAGGAATGCAAAACCAAACAACACTGTTTGCCTATGGTTATTAACGCCTAACAAAGGCGCAAAGACCATCCCATAGCAGTTCGTGTTGAATGTCGTATCAAATACCACCACATCCCCAAAAAAACCCATAAGCTCGTCTTGACCTTGTATTTGCCCAAAAAACATTTCCCATCCTTCCTTCCGAATCTACCTCCATATTGAAATAAAATGATTCATTTTTTCCTTGCTCAGCCAAAAAATGCTCCTTCAGCAGCTTTGCATCATGCCCAATCACCTCCCCATGCACGTCCCTTGCATAATTATAGACATCTCTCCTAACAAACCCAACATTTTTCAATCCCCCTACTTGCACCTCAAGAAGGCTTACATGTTTATGTACAAGGATATTAACTTTGCTCATATGTGAACTATAGGCCTTTGTAGACTCTGTTAAGTTACGGTGAGATCTTAATAAATGGACTTTATCAACTGTGGTCATGTCATGGTTGTGTACCTCATTGAATCCTACAACAGTGTACTTATTCTTCTCGTTTACCTTCAAAATCGCAAGTTTAACCTTGCACCCAGTTCGAGTACAACCTCGCTGTCTTCTCCTACGACTAATAGTGCTTGTCAACGCATACCCTTGTTTACAGCATACATATTCTTTCCTTGTTACCTCTCCTGTGAATGTGCACGTTCTCGTTGTAGAACACCGAATGCCGAATCCGGCTTTCGCGGCATACATATTATAGAAATTGAACACATCCTCACAACAATCAAATTCAAGTCCCAATTTTGATTTCAAGTCCGAACTAACTTCCGGTGTCACCTGTCCTTTGCACTCCATTTCACAGTTCTTGCAATTTAACCCTGAATATCACATCACCACCATCATATATGACATTAAAATCACTATCTGTGAAACATTAAAGACCTACATACACACTAACGTAACTCGTGCTAATGCCCAATATTTGGCACAGGCTTTCAAACAGCTTTAAAATATATATCAACTAACATATGACATCCAAATGACTCTCTGGTGAAACATTAAAGACATACATACAAGCTAATCTGACTCATGCTGATGCCTAATATTTGGCACATGCTTTCAAACAGCTTTACGATATATATTAACTAACATATGACATGCAAATGACTCTCCGCTGAAACATTAAAGTCATACATACAACCTAAAGTGACTCATGCTGATGCCCAATAATGAAATTGACAAATACAGTATATGGCTTACCTCGTAACTGATTTCCAACTTCAAATTTTCAACAAATATGACAACGTAACTTAGCCCTTTTAGATCTGGACGTCAACTCCAAAAACTTTTTTTCTTCCTCAACCCCTGTTTCGCCCGCGCTCAAGGATTTCAAAACCAACAGAGCAGAACCACAATAGTACGGTCAGCACTTTCCAACTCAACACCAGTTTCGACGTTGCTCAAGGATTGACGTATGTCCCGACCCCAAAAACCCAACCACAAATATGAAATTATAAAATCCAAGATTCCTTTGTTTCGCCTGAATGGGAAACCCAGAAAAATGAGGGTACCGTTTATGTGTTCTTCCTCAAATCGAAAAACGATTAACAGGGGTGCTCTCTCTTCAGTGTTACAGTTCTTCCTCAATCAAAGCTGATAAAAAAATGGCCTCCTCATTGAACTGAGCAAATAGCTGGTTTGGAGGGGACTTCTGTTTTGAAGGGGACGTTTTGGAGGGAGAAGAGAGAAGAAGGCCTCGTTCTAATACAACACTTACACTTACAATTGCTTTTCATACAGCCGTTAGATTGGATCCAACGGTGTTCTCATGTTATGTTCTCACATAGGCGTTCTCACTAGATCCCGACCCTATCAATGGGTGCGTGTATAATTTTCTTGGGTACAAATGGAGGCCCATTGGCATGAATTTTCACAAACAGTAATTGCCCCAACAAGGACAAATACGTGTTGCCCAGAGTCTCTCAGTCGCTCGCTTGGTCTCTCTTTCTCTCGGTCCGACGCCTCCACAGTCCACGACCTCCAGCTCTCTTCGCCAACCCATTCGCAGAATCGCAGAGCACAAAGGTCCGACGTCTTACCATTCTCCGATTCCCCGATTCCCAACCTCGTCCACCATCGATCACTCCAAACGGAAATGGTAAATAAATGTATTTTGTTTCTGTGTTTATTCCAGCATATGGTCTTTGTTTTGGTATTGAATAGATGCTCTTACATGGCAATGATTTGGTTGCATTTTATGTACTGGGTCTATTGATTTGATTTGATTCTTCCATTTTCTGATTCTCCCCATCAATTTTCAAGTACCCAAATTTATCATCTTAATATTTGTTGGGTTTGTTTAAGTTTCTATTTTGCATTTACTTTTGTTTTTCTTGGTTTCTCTCCCTGTTGAGTGTTCACTGACTTGTCTGTCTGGGACGGAAATCACAAGACTGGGTGGGCTATAGCCTATATGCTAACTTCTTTAAAAACAAAATATAGGTGTTTATGTACTCTAAGCCTAAATCCTCTCAGCTCAATCCAGCCACCATCCAGGTTTTCAGAACATTAGCCTTTCCCTCCTGTTCTCCACCTCTGCCAACCTTCTCTGTCCCGTGTGCCGTTCACTCTCCTAGTTCTTCTCATTTTCTAATTTCAATTCTGCTTCTTATAAGCCTCAGAGCTTCGCTGACCCCAGGTAATCGTCTAATCTTCTTTTAGTTGCAGATTTTTTAAATCAACATTTTATATCTCAGGTTTAATTTTGGGGTATAATTTAAGGTGTTGTTTGATTAGTATTATTATTAATATTATTATTTTGTCCATCAGCTCCTCAAGTTTTTCATTGCGGTTTATTGGTTTTTGGAATGATTAGATTTGGTTCCTCTATTTTCTCAAATTTACATCTGATTTGGATGTGGATTATGAAGGGGTTTGTTGGTTTTCTTATGGAATTTATGCTCATGGACATACAATTAAGATTTTAGCTTATGGGATAATTAGAGCTGCTTTACAAACACGAATTGGTGGTTAGTGAGAAAAAAATGATGTTCTAAAGCAGCTGTATCTCACCTAAAAATAACTGAATAAAAACACTAATTGGGTAGAAACAACTATTAGAAGATTGTGATTCACTGTTACATGTACTATGGCAACCTAATTTGAAAGCAAGAAGTGCATAGAAACAGACAACAGATTGGCTTATTTTCAACAATTAAAAGGATAAACAAAACGATCCAGAAATGCACAAGAGAGGCTTGAATTTGAATTTAAATTGAGATGATGTTCCTTTGGTATGCTTATTACTGAGTAGCTCAATCAGAGACTAAGATTTGCTTTACTTCTCTCCTTTTTTTTCTTTCTTTTTTTCATTTCATTTTGTGTCTTGCAAGTTATAAGTGCTTCCACTTGTTTAGAATCCTCTGAATTTGGTTCATTTGTATGCTTTCAATATGTTCTGTAAATCTGGAAAATATCAACCCCCCGCCTACAAAAACAAATGCGAATCTTTTCACTCAGGGTAAAAAAGAAAAGCTTAGAGATTCAGCCCATTGTATTTTCAAATCCTGGTTCCATCCCTACAACTGGGTATTTATTATGTTTCTTGGTTATATTGTAGTTGGTTCAACCTCACTAGAGTCTTGTTTTTCTTGCAAATTAATTCTAGATGACAATTTTTTTAAAGTACAATCTACATAACAGAAGATATTTCCCAGGAACTGTTTTTAGAAGAAAACAAAAATTTAACAGTTGTGGAAACTTAAATACTCTCAAAAAGACTGGGCTGTGGAAGCTCAAATACTGTTTGGTGGTTTATGCTATAAATTTGACCTCTTTTAATTTGATGAATATTATGCCAGTATTTAATTTCCCATATATTTGATAGGATTTACTTTTTTTATTTCCCATTCTCAATCCCTTAAGGCCTGTTTGATGGGCTGGCTTCGACGTGGGCTTTTCTCTCCCTCAGCCTCCTTTGCTTTCGTCTCTAGTTTGAGCGAGCTTCTCTTTTCTGAATCTCTTTCTTAGTTGCTTTCTCCACCATGGCTTCAAAGCCCCTCTCTGTCTGCTGTGATTTTAGCCATTGTTGCTAGGTATCTTTTTTTTTTCTTCTCCATTTTCTTATCCATTCTAGTTTTATTTTTCTCGATTTCCATGTTTGACTCTAACATTTGAACTCCGTTGATTTGGCTGCTTCTCAGTTTACTTTCTAAAACTTTTTTCTGAATCTAACTCGTTGGTTGATGTGGGCATTTCTGTTTGATTTAAGTTTTGGGATTTCCATATTTGATTCTATTAAGTTTTCACAATTCAAAAACCGCACAAGACAACCTGTGTTTTCTTATTCTCGCTTTCTTCAGTTCTCTTTTCTTTTTTTTCTCCTCTGATCTGAAACTTTTTTCTCTTATTGGGTATGCACTGGAAGGTTAAATGGTTTTGAGGAAATGTCATGGCTTTGGGCAATTGGGTCTTCTGGGAGAGTTTGATTGTATAGGCTGAGGCTGAGTCTTGTGCATTTGAGGCTCTTTCCAAGTCTTGTGCAATAGGGTCTTTTGCTTTCATGATATGCATCATTTTTGTTTGTATATCACCTTCTGTGTACCAATTAAGCTGTTTTTTAATTGCCTATAGTGAACCAGTGCTGTATAGATTTAATTTTGGGAAGGAATTGTATGCATCTGATTGTTGGGAAGGAACACGATCCAACTGGATGCTTGTCATTAAACTATAAATTAATTAATGTTAAAAAAAATTAAATGTTAAGTGATTTAATTTATTTTAAATTAATCTAAATTATAAGAAAAAATGACTCGAACTTAAGTGTAAAGAGACGAGCTCACTATGCTAAAAAACTGCAGTGAGCATATATAATATGTATCTGCCAAATTTGGCTCATCTCTTTGGAGAGTATGAACCATTGATCTTTAAGGTGGACTTGTTACATTTATGACCTTTCTTACTTTTGAATTCCAACATAACATTGTCTTTTGGCCAAATATTCGTGGTATTAAGCAGCAGCATACACATTTTGGACGCAAGGGAATTAAATTAAGGTCAAGTCAATCAACAATTATTATAACCTGATATATAGTCGAGGCAGGTAAGTTAGAGCATCTTGAAAGGTTTTGATTTTAGAAATTCAACACAGGTCCATTCTTGCATTTCATTTTCAATCTGGAATTCCTGAACGAATGCAAGCATTCACAGAGAGGAGGGTTGCTTTATGTCGGAGTTTTACTCATATGGAAATAAAAGCGTTTACATTTATATTATGATGACCTGATGACCCAAAAGAAACATAGATTAAACATAATACAAACCCATACAACATAGATTAACTTATTAATCCAAAACATAAACATACAACTACTTAACAAGATTGGCATATACCAATCACTCATAATAAATTAAACTTGACAGAAACAGAAACTTATAGAACTATATAAGAAGATTGACATATATATACATCTAAATATATATATGTCAAATCTCACTTAATAATTGTTCATATCACATCAAATATCGACCCAGTGACCGTGGATGTTTTTCCTTTGTGCTCTAACTTGAAATATGGTTTCTCTGAAATGATTTACCTGAGGAAGAAAAATAATCTTGTCACCAACTCTGAGCCCCTTGTATTTGAAAAACTTGAGCCAACCCTCCGCCTGAAGCACAGGCTTCTGGTAACTGCCATTTCGGATGGAGCAGCACAACAGAAAATGGAAGCCCTTGTCGTCCAGGACCCCGAACTGGACCTCACGGGAGCTCCCTTCAAATGGAGGCATTTCATCAAGCCACCGCACTGGAACCACCAGTTTATGCCCTACATCTGTTTCAGTCAGCTCTTTCTCAAGCTCATGTGCACCTGCCATCAGTGGCGGAGCCAGGAATCGTACCACAAGGGGTCTTAGTGTAAAAGTCCCAATAAAAATTTATGATGGAAAAAAATATTGAAAATGAAATAATAGCACTATAATCTATCATTCAAGTTCTTAATCCAAGATCCGCTTGAAGATTACCAAAAACACAATCTAACAGACTTTGTCTTGAACTTGGAGTTCTTGAACTACCAACATTATTTGAACTATCAACATTATCCGAACTACCCGAACCCGATGATGACTTTCTCTTAAAAAACCGTTCCATAATAATTCTACATATACAAAATAATCAAAATAAATACTCACAATATAAACAAACCATCAACATAATAAAAATAAATATGAATTGGATTTCAATTAAATTGAATATATTCTACATATACAAAATAATCAAAATACAAACTAACAATATAAACAAACCATCAATATAATCAAAATAAATATGAATTGGATTTCAATTAAATTAAATATATTCTACATATACAAAATAATGAACATAAAAACTCACAATATAATCAAACCACCAATATAATCAAAATAAATATGAATTGGGTTTCAATTAAAATAAATATATCATACATAGGGTTTAGAACTTACTTGAATTGTGAAATTTCACAATAACAATTTGTCAAAACAAAGAGAGTAGCTGGCGGCACCACCACACGGTGACGACGACGACAGCACCAGCACAGCGGCACCCCAATGGCGGCAGCAAGGGGGAGGAGATGGAGTTAAGGGTTTGGGGGAGCGGGGATTAAGTTGGGAACTTAGGGTTGGAGGAGAAAACAAAAAAAAATTGGGGTTTTAGGATGGAGGAATCGGTGTTGTGGAGAGAAGATACGCTGGCCATTTTTATTTTTTTTAAAATTTGAGACTTGGCCCAAAACGACGTAGTTTTGGCCACGTCATTTAAAAAAATTCCCTGGGCCAAAACGACGTCGTTTTGCCCAGGTTGTTTTTTTAAAAAAAAGACAGACCCGCGCGTTGCGCGCAGCCTTCTTCTTCTTTAGCTTGCAAAACCTTCATTCTTCTTCAGTAATTTGGTCGAGCACTTGGTGTGCAGCTCCAAGAGGTCACACTAGCAACTCCAAGGGACCTCTAAGCTTATTTCCATGGCTTCCAAGAGGTCGTGCGACCCCACTGACCCAACTGTGGCTCCGCCTCTGCCCATGCATACAGATGAAAAAGCAAACAGTGAAAAGAAAGCAATCTTTTACGACTGTCTTGTTTATTAGAGATAGAGAGCTAGCTTAACTAGCCACTCTCTCTCTATCCGCTTGCACTTTAGTCTTTACATTTTGTGCTTATTGAAATAAAGTAGAATTCCCATGTGATATTGTTGACGTGAGTCTCCTAATTAATCAAAGAGATTTATTTCCTTGATTAATTAAGAGATTTACTTTCCTATTCTATATAGTTGACAAATCATTATATAATTAGGAGATATTATCCTAATTAATTACTGTATCTATTTATTTGTAAAGCACTCATGAAAACTCCTACATATACCTCCTTATGGAGAAGAATAAAACCTAACCCAAAATATTCAAACCATATTCATATTTTAGCATGTTATCAGAGTTATCGATCCTAGGTTGTCTCTAAACCCTTATCTCAAATTTCTCATATTCAAATCGAAAACCCTAAATCAAATTCCTCATATTTTTCCCCAAATCCAAATGCCTCAAATCTAAAGTCCTCAAATCTTAAAGCCAAAGGGAAATACCCCCATCAATAATTATATATCTCTCAGCAGATTATCAAAGTCACGTGTGCACTATGTGAAGCAGTTGGCTGACATATATGTCCCCAACAGTGTAACTGAAGCACTAGAAGACCCAAAATGGAAAGAAGCTATGAATGAAGAAATGCGAGCTATCTAAAAGAATGTCACATGGGAACTCGTGCCCTTACCTCTTGGAAAAAAGACAGTAGGATGTAGGTGGATTTATACTGTGAAACTCAAAGCAGATAGATCCGTTGAAAGATATAAAGCTAGATTGGTGGCGAAGAGGTACACACAGAGATATGGGATAGACTACCAAGAGACCTTTGCCCCAGTAGCCAAGATTAACACTATTAGAGTCCTATTGTCTCTAGCAGCAAATCTTGATTGGCCACTACATCAGTTTGATGTCAAAAATGCATTCTTACATGGAGACTTGGAAGAAGAAGTATATATGCACTTACCCCCCGGATGTAATTCAGCTCATGACAAGAAGAATTAAGTTTGCAAGCTCAAAAAGTCATTATATGGGTTAAAGCAATATCCCAGGGCATGGTTTGGTAGATTTACGAATCTATGAAAAATTTTGGATGTACACAGAGTAATTCAGATCACACCCTGTTCTTGAAGCATGATAAAGGAAAACTTACTGCATTGATTGTGTATGTAGATGACATAATCGTAACTGGAAACGATGCATAAGAGCAACTGAAGTTGCAAAAGTATTTGTCTCAGGAATTTGAGATGAGGGATTTAGGTGATCTGAAGTACTTTCTCAGAATCAAAATAGCACGGTCAAAAACTGGTATATTTCTATTTCAAAAGAAGTATGTAATGGATCTACTCACTAAAACAGGAATGCTTGGATGTAAGTCTGTTGACACACCCATTGGGATGAATCACAAGTTGTGTGAAGACATGGAACAAGAACCAACCAATAAGGAACAGTACCAACGCCTTATTGGAAGGTTGATATACCTGGCACACACAAGACCAAATATTGCATATGATGTGAGTGTGGTTAGTTAGTTTATGCATTCACCCAGTGTTTCTCATAGGAATGAAGTTGGTCATATCTTAAGATACTTAAAGTCAGCCCCCGGGGAAAGGATTAATGTTCTCAAAAAATGGAGATCTTGAAGTTGTTGGATATACATATGCTGATTGGGCTGATTCCATTACAGATAGAAGCTCTACTTCTGGTTACTTTACATTCCTAGGAGGTAACTTAGTCAATTGGCGAAGTAAAAAGCAAAATGTGGTTTCTCGGTCTAGTGCAGAAGTAGAGTATCGAGGAATGGCTCACGGAGTTTGTGAATTATTGTGGATCAAAAGACTCTTGACAGAATTGGACTTCAAGCCAGAAAAGCCAATGGAGTTGCATTGTGACAACAAGTTAGCTATCAATATTGCCTATAATCTAGTTCAATATGATCGAACCAAACATGTTGAGGTGGATATATATTTTATTAAAGAAAAAATTGAGAAGAAGATCATCCGCCTACCATTCGTAAAATGAAAGTAAATCCCTTAATTAATCAAGGAAATATTTCCTTGATTAATTAAGGGATTTACTTTCCTATTCTATATAGTTGACAAATCATTGTATAATTAGGAGATACTATCCTTGTATATACCTCCTTCTTATGAAGAAGAATAAAACCTAACCCAAAGTATTCAAACCATATTCATATTTTAGCAGAGATGACATCCATTAAAATCCCCCTTAATTATTTCTTAAAATTTGTATCTGGTCTCCTTCCAAAACTAAATAAATAAACAAAGATGAAGAAGCCTTCCTTTTGTATTATCTAAGACTAAAAAGATGCAAAAAGATTTAATATGCAGAGTAATTCAACAGCAGATGAGCAGTGTAATTCGTGTTTACCTTGAGAATTTTCCCAGGAGTCCTCGTTATCAGTGGTATTGGCGTTCAGTCGGTTATTACTTAGTTTTGAAACCTAAACACACAAGAAATATGGCAGGCAAAAGGGAGAATTTGATAGGATTTTCAGAATGCCGAAGGTAATAAACATACTGAACCATAGCGCAAATGCACTGTGAGATGCTAGCAACTAGTCCAAAAATGTCAGGAAGAGTACCAAAAGGCTTATGTCGAGGAGGTGGTGGATGATAAAACCACCAGAGCATTCCCCATCTCCCCAACACAACTCTTTCCTTTTTACCTCTGTAAATTAGCTCCCAGATGGAAATGAGCACAGCTGCAATGGCCAACAATATACCAAATAAGTGGGGTCTTCTTGGGGAGGAAGCCTGATCACAAGCAGCTGACAACATCTCTAGGCCAAGGTTAGTGGCTAAAAATATCCACTCTGCTGATTCTGAAGTAGCCCTCATCCCTGAAACTCAAGGAGGGTTTGTAAAGATTACTACTAGGTGTTAAAGATGGCTCAGAAGAAGACTGATCTCCACGACGAGTATTTGCAAACCAGGAAACCAGTTGTTGCTGTCTCAATTTCCACAGCTATTAAGTAAGTGCTTTTCTTTGAGAAAACGGAGGAATTTACATAGAAAAGGAAAGGAACTTTCCAAGACGGACCCTCTGCTTTCTTTCTTTAATTATCTGCTTTCCAAGACGGATCCTCTGCTCTCTTTCTTTAATTATCTGAAAACAATGAGAAGAAGATGCTATAGTGTTATGGGATTAGTGGAGAAGAGGTTTTAGTAAAGGCAATAATGGAAAGGAGAGAGCTTCTTGGTAAATCGCAGTGTGGTGGAAAAGCTCTTAATGATATCTTCCACACGGTTTGTACAAGCTTTATACTAAAATACAGCGATGAGCTGTCAAATACGGCCTTAGACTAACTAACAAACAATTTAGTGTAACAAACTAATTATTTACTGCTTTTAATATCATCTTTGTCTATGACTACCATTGTCAAAACAAAACAAAAAGGATCTGTGACCCATCAAGGAAGTTTCTTAAAATGGAACATAAATTCACAAGACCAAGTTTGAACACGAGCAAGTTTCCTAGGTAAGGGAGAAAAAAAGCCTTGACCCATCAAGGAAAGCTTGAGCACATTGCAAACAATGCTGTTATAAATTGGTAAATTAAATAAAATCACAATGCTAACTTAAATTTACACAAGAATAAATTCATTACTAGAACAAGACAGACATACCTGAAAAAGAATCAAAGAACGTATAGCCAAGGTAAAGGTGGAGACTTGAAGGAAAACCGCAAGGGTCCCACTTTCGAAGGCAAGTCCCTTCCTTTTCCATAGAAGAAAGCAAAGATTGTAGTCCCATATGAAAATTCTGAGAGCTGCAATTCATCTTTGTGGAGCCCAATTTAGAGAGACACAGTAGCAGAAGAAGAGAGTGTTTTGACCAACTAGTTTCGATTTGTGGTGCCGCCATGGCTGACCGACTTTTCGTACCATTTTGGCATTGATTATTTAGGCGAAAATCACTTTCTTTGAAGAGATGTGTGTGTCAGTGTGTTTGGAAAAAGAGGAGAACGCGATTACTTGAGAAATTCAGGTAAAACATGAGTGGAGGTGATTTTTGTTTCCACTTTCTTGAGAATCAGGTTGGAACAGTCGTGATATTAATGAATTTTTGCAAACTACCCAACATAGCCTAACTTCTTTTTACAATTTCCACAAAATGCCCTCTTTTCTATTTTCTATTCCACCTGCTGTGATTCTTTCATTTCTAATCGTCGCCCAATAGCTTGCAAATGCTAAATTCATTGCACAAAGTCCCAAAGTCCTATATTTGTTTGCAGACAAAAAAAAAAAGAAAAAAAAAAGAGGGTCCAATACTTGAATAGAAAAGTCATTTCAACATAGTGTCATTTTTCCTCATCATACACAACTCACAACACTTTTACACAAACATTTACCAAACTGAGAAACTGATTATTGTACTATAATCACTTTTAACAAAAAGATTACCAAATACCAAACTGCTTTCTATAACAGCTGATTTCTATCTCAGGAAATCTGACAGTGATCATTACCAAATGCCATCTTTAAATTTTATAAGTTCACTGTAAAGTTGGGTTTTTTAGAATTTTATGGGTGCACTGAATATATCAATGGGTGCATGTATAATTTTCTGTTCTCCACCTCTACCAACATTCTCTGTCTCGTGGTGCCGTTCACTCTCCTAGTTCTTCTCATTTTCTAATTTCAATTCTGCTTCTTATAAGCCTCAGAGCTTCTTATAAGCCTCAAATCTTCTTTTAGTTGCAGATTTTTTAAATCAACATTTTATTTCTCAGGTTTAATTTTGGGGTATAATTTAAGGTGTTGTTTGATTATTATTATTATTATTATTATTATTTTGTCCATCAGCTCCTCAAGTTTTTCATTGTGGTTTATTGGTTTTTGGAATGATTAGATTTGGTTCCTCTATTTTCTCAAATTCACATCTGAGTTGGATGTGGATTATGAAGAGGTTTGTTGGTTTTCTTATGGAATTTATGCTCACGTACATACAATTAAGATTTTAGTTTATGGGATAATTAGAGCTGCTTTACAAACACGAATTGGTGGTCAGTGAGAAAAAATTGATGTTCTAAAGCAGCTGTATCTCACCTAAAAATAACTGAATAAAAACACTAATTGGGTATAAACAACTTTTAGAAGATTGTAATTCACTGTTACATGTACTATGGCAACCTAATTTGAGAGCAAGAAGTGCATAGAAACAGGCAACAGATTGGCTTATTTTCAACAATTAATTGGATAAACGAAACGATCCAGAAATGCACAAGAGAGTCTTGAACTTTAATTTAAATTGAGATGATGTTGCTTTGGTATGTTTATTACTGAGTAGCTCAATCAGAGACTAAGATTTGCTTTACTTCTCTCCTTTTTTTTTCTTTTTTTTTTTGTTGCCTTTTTTTCATTTCATTTTGTGTCTTGCAAGTTATAAGGGCTTCCACTTGTTTAGAATCCTCTGAATTTGGTTCCTTTGTATGCTTTCAATATATTCTGTAAATATGGAAAATATCAACCCCCGCCCACAAAAACTAATGCAAATCTTTTCACTCAGGGTAAAAAAGAAAAGCTTGGAGATTCAGCCCATTGTATTTTCAAATCCTGGCTCCGTCCCAACAACTGGGTCTTGTTTTTCCTTGCAAATTAGTTCTAGATGACAATTTTTTAAAAGTACAATCTACATAACAAAAGATATTTCCCAGGAACTGTTTTTAGAAGAAAACAAAAATTTAACAGTTGTGGAAACTTAAATATTCTCAAAAAGACTGTGCTATGGAAGCTCAAATACTGTTTGGTGGTTTATGCTATAAATTTGACCTCTTTTAATTTGTTGAATATTATGCCAGTATTTAATTTCCCATACATTGGTTCTTCATCTTTGTTGGAAGTTGGAGTTAGTAATCAATTGTACAAGCTGTTGAAGAATACACAAGTCCCACATCGGAAACTTAACAAAATAGAAAGTCCCATATAATAAATGGTTCCACTCCTAATAATATCGAGACCTTTTGTATAAAACCCCACTCTTGCTAAACAGGTGGTTAAGTTTGGCACAATATCGATGTTGCTAGCGGTGGGTCAAGTTTTGGGAAGGAATTGTATGCATCTGATTGTTGGGAATGTGCTGGTAGCTCCATTGAGTTCACTCAGATCATTGCTGATTTCTCTTATCTAGCCTTAATGATATGAATGTCCATGCTTCATCTGAGTTACTTGATAAAATTCTATCCAACATGTTAATAGACTTGCTATTTTTTATTATCCAGCCTTGGTTTACTTTATTGGGCTGCTGAGTCACTAATGTTGCAGTAACCATATATGAGTTTGATGCAGTTGCTATTTCCTTTGGGTCAATGGTATTAAACCTTTCACTCTTTAACTTAATTTGTTGTCATGAATCTTTAAACATGCATGCTTCTTTATTTTTATTATTTTTGAAAAAGTTGTGTTCTTTGATGCAATACAGCAACATATGAATGAATAATCTCTGGCCTTTTTTTTTACTTTCATATTGGGGTCTGCCAATAGCTCAATCAACTCTTATGCAAACTCCAGAATGCCAATATGAGGAATGGAAAATATGAAGAAATGATATACAAAGGTGCCACAATGTTTAAAGCTTGAAACTTTTGGTGTGTAACAACAAACTAGAACCACAAAGTTGGTCCACTTTTTTCAACCCAAGAAAAAACACAAAAAACCTAAAGTAATGCACCAAAAGTTAATATGAGGAATTGAAAATATGAAGAAATGATATACAAAGGTGCCACAATGTTTAAGGCTTGAAACTTGTGGTGTGTAACAACACACTAGAACCACAAAGTTGATCCACTTTTTTCAACCCAAGAAAAAACACAAAAAAACTAAATTAAAGCACCAAAAGTCAAACGTTTGATCACAGGACAAGAGTAAAGTTTAGTTTAGTTTCTCAATGAGCTTATGCTGTCACAGTCGAATCAGTTATATAAGTTAGTAGTTGTCATTGGTTAGAGATGTGGCGGGAAGAGTGAAATGGATCCTGTATAAACAAGAGCACCACAAGAATAAAAGACAACGAAAATACAATTTCCAGTGCTAAGCACATAAGCATTGAATTATTCAACGGGCAACTAAAATCTCAAAAACCCATTTCCAATATGTAATGAAAGTGATAGAAATTGAAGGATAAGCGTAAGAAACAATAACAAAATCAAGGGCTAGGAAACCTAAAAGGAAAAAAGCAGAGAGAGAGAAACTGACAGGAAAGCCAGGTGGTGATGGAATCTGCAGCAGACTTGCCAGAGTAAATGGCCGATGTCACATACAAAGACGAGACGAGAAGATGATCCCAATTATTACAGTGGCGTATATAGTCACGAACACTGGCTTCGCATTGTCAAACGCATTCTTCCACCCCATTGTTTCGCTTTTGGGATTTGTTTGCTTGTTTGATTATCCTTCCCACGCCATTAACATCATCTTCCTTCTTCTTTTTCCTGGGGAAGAAGAAGAAAGAAAACCCTAAATCCAAATGGAACCAATCTGAATTTGAGAGGTTTATTTCACTTGTTTCTCTCTCAGCTCTCAGGCTCCCAACTGCTAAAGGTCAACTCCAGGCTGAGCCTCCATGTTTGTCTCCTTTATTTCTCTCATTCTTTACTCTCTTAGCCTAATTTTTTACCAGTAAGAGAAAGTTTGGTTGGTTTAATGTGAATCTGTTATCCGTGGCAAAAAAGTTATTTTCTTTTGAGAAGGGAAGATTATGACATAATTGATTGAAAAGTTGATTATGAAATAATTGACTAATTAAAATGTTGATTATTATATCTTGTATTTGGTAGGTGAACATGAACAGACTCTTCCTTCAAATTTTATTTCATTATTTTGTGTTTACCATTTTGCCATCGTATATTAAAGAATCATATCTTTTAGTACATTTATTTCTCAAGGGCATTAAGGAACTTTCAAAAATTTAACCATTCTTTTGTCTTATTGGTAAGAAGATAATAAAAGTGACTTATGAAAAAACATTTATGATTAAATACCTAAAACCCACAAATTATGGATCCTATTTTAGCTTAGTCTCAATCTTTTTCATGTTTCCATTTTTGAACCCTTTTGGAAATATTAAATTTGAACCACAATGTGTGGTGCGGTTGGCAAACTGCCACCTCCAGCTGGCGAGCTACCTGGTGCCTTAATGGTAGGGGTTCGAAACCCGTTGGAAGCACTTTGTGGCCAAGGGCAAGCCGAACCCCGAGGGGGGATTAATCCC